GGGGCGGGCCCCAGCCATTTAAATTTAAATGAAGCCGCGATTATTTTAATCGCGGCTTCATTTCCCTTTTCCGATCTGGCTAATCTACATGCCTCCGTCGACGGAGGCATGGAGTCTGGACACAGCCTAAGAGACTGCAGCTTATTTTCTCTTTGTTTTTTCTGGCTCTCTTGTGGTAAAAGAGTTTGAGGTACCCCGGAGAAGGAATTTGAGTGTTCCTCCCTGTTTTATTTTTTTAAGAGTTTAAAATCACTTGATAGTGGCAGCTTTTGTTTTTCTTGGTGCCAGTGCATCTGTGACTCTGAGAAGTTTTTGTAAACAGAGACTATAGAGGCAAAGTATTTAAGGTCTCTTGTGGGCCCCCTTCTTCTGCACTTGGAGTGCCAGAGTGGGGAACAGCCCTGACAAGCATAATCACCTTTGGTAAGTGAGCAGTCAAAGGAATAAAATCTTGGGTTTTTAAAATATTTTTTAAAATGCAAGTACATGAAGCAAGATGTCAAATGGGGTATGGAAGTGTACCATATTAACCTTCAATGTATTGAAGAACAGAAAGCACTGAGGCAAATCACGACCTGCCTTGCATAATGTGTACTCTCTGAGAATACAATTGATCAGCCTTCTGAATGTCTGACTTCAGGAAATTGGGCATATTGAGTGGATAGTCCCATAGCAATGTATTGGAGCAGAGATTTGAACCTAACTCTCCCACACCCCTGTTGAGTGCCCTAAGCGTTGAATTAAAGAATCAATCTCTCCCCTGCCCACAATAAATGGTAATTTTTTAGTACAAAGTGGAACTCCTCGAGTGGGAGAGACCCATTTTAACTGCCTGGTGGTTAGAGCACTCTCTTAGGATGAGAGAAAGAGTTAATTTTACTTTCACCACTGAACCTAATTCCCTCCTGGTATGGGGAAGGGGACACATCAGCTGCTGGGGCAAGCACATCACCTCCCCAAGTGGCCCTCCATGTGTTTCTGCCCATCCCCCACTCTGGGAGCCCCCACACTTTTCCCCTCATTCCACGTTACCTGAGGGGGAGGGGATATTCAGGGCAGCTGGAGGAGCTGACAAGAATTCTGTTGCTTTCCCAGGGGTAATAATAGTGTGAGGGGTGCTTCTCTTTCTCTGTCAGTCTGGCACCTAAGGCCCAAATCAGAGGGAATTAGATACCTAGATACCTCCCTTTATAGATCTGGGCCACAATACCCTCCCCTTTCCTCCTCATTTCATTTCTGAAAAGCTTAGGCAGCTTCCTGCTTAGCTTGTTGGACTCTGAAAATCCTTTTCTGAGGCACTGTCTACACTAAAAGGAAGATTGCCACTGTTGTGATCGATCTTCTGGAGTTTGATTTAGCATGTCTAGTTAAGATTCACTAAATTGAACTTGGAGGGTGCCCCCGCCAATGTCCAATATTCCTGCTCTTGCCTGGGGATGGTGCCAACCTTAACTTAAGTTAAGCTGACTCCAGTTACATATTCTATGTAGCTGGTGTTGCGGTACCTTAAGCCAAGTCTACGTAGACCTGGCCTTAGGTGCCAACCCTCCCCATATGTTGTATGGGAAGCCCTCTTGGGGCTGTGAATTTCACTGTGCCACAAGGAGCCTAAGTGGTTGCAAGTTTCAGCACTGCAACAGCTAAGTCCTCTTTGTGATTCTGGCATGAAGGGCCAGGGACATGGAAGCTACTATCCAGGAAAGGCAGGATTCTAGAGGTCAAAGAGTTACAATTTGAGTGCTTTATAGCAGGGGTAGGGAACCTAAGACCCAGGAGTCAGATGTGGATCCTGTTTTGCATGGATCTGGCCCCTGAAGCTCAGGGTTTCCCACCCCCCCCCCAACTTTGGGGAACCTGAGCTGGCACTACAGCCTCTCCCCCACCTGCTGCCATCTCATGAGACTGAAGCACACAAAATCTACTACTAGGCTAGTGTGCAAAGGGAATGTGGGGAGTGTCTTTCTCCTCTCACTTGTATGCGGCCCCCAACTGATTTTTCTGTGGGTTAGCAGCTTCAGGTCCCAAAAAAGTTCCCCATCCCTGTTGTATAGGGTGGCCACACATCTGATTTTTGACCTGGAAAGGGATCCTGGTAACTAGGCTGTTGAAAGTCCAGTCAATTGTGTAGCAGGGATAAGAGAGGCTTCCTGCACGTCCTGGCTCTGTGTGCCTCCTTTAAGTGGATGCCATATCTGGTTCCTAGGAACAGGGGAGGGTCCACATGCTGCTCCTGCCCCAAGTGCCAGCTCCATAGTTCCCATTGGCCAGAAATCGCAGCATCTGCAGCAGGGCTGGCCTTACCATGTGAAGAACTGAGGCGGCCACCTTAGGTGCCAGACTGTGGGGGGAGTGGAGGGGCGGCGGCACCACTAGGACCCAGAGTGTAGAAAATTGTGTCTGCTGCTGGTGCATTTGTATTCTCTCTGCTCTAGAGAGAGGGTGTCATTCTGCCTCAGGTGCCAAAATGTTATGGGCTGTCCCTGACCTGTAGGCATGGGCAGTGCCCACCACACAGAACCTCCAGGTTGCCCCTGCACCTAGAAGCTGCTTTGGGGAAAACTGTGTGGAGTCAATGCAGGCAAGGCACCTGCCTTAGCCCTGCTGCCCTACTGACTGGGAACCACCTGAGGGAAGCGCTGCCTAGCTGGAACCCACACCCCGAACTGCCTCCCACAGCCCAATCCTCTACCCTAGCTCTGAGCCTCCCCCAAACTCCTCAACCCTGCCCCATCCCAGAGCCTACACCCCCAACTGGAGCCCTTGCCCCTTCTGCAACCCAACCCTCTGTCCTAGCCAAGTCAAAGAGACTAAGAGTGGGGGAAAATGAGCAACTGAGGGAGGGGGGGAAAGGAGCGAGTGGGGTGGGGTCTCAGAGAAGAGGCAAGGATGAGATAGGGAGAAAAGTGTGTTTGGGTGTGTTTTGATTAGAAAGTTGGCAACCCTAGCACTATAGATATGAGCTCCATGGTGGCTCACTAGCTCCCTGCATGCTGTAGGCTGTGGGTGTAGCAATGATAAAGCCACTAGACTGGCAGGTCCAGAGAACCACTTGTCATTTCCCCACCTCAAGAGTGGACACACAGCAACCATGAGGACCACTTCAGCGGGACGCCTGCAGCAGTGGTGGCAGAGCAGCATCACTGTCTCTCCATAGCCTGAGGAAAGTTTCTTCCACAGTGCCATGCCCAGTTACTTTAGTGACATACTATCTTCTAGCAAAATGAAAGGATTGCACTTGGGTATCACAGAGGAGAAGGTGCCTCTCAGAGACCCAGAGTCTGACAATCTATAGAAAATGTCATTTCCAGATCCAAGGGAGCCTAGGATTTGCATAGCTAGCTCTTTCTGTGGTGCTCCCTAGGTATCCCTTCCCCAGAAATAGGTTTGTTACATTGGGCTGAGAACCTACAGGAACAAAAGCCTAAGGAAGTAGCCCATACTGATATCAACAGCATTAATTACTATACAGATTTCCAATCAGAAACCTAAAGGTAGAATTGTGGGGAGCAGACCGCATTTCCAGCCTAGCACACGCACTCAGACCTGGAGAGACTTGATCATAACAAGGCTGCTTCTATAGAGGAGGAGCAGAAATGCTGGTTTACTTTAATTTATAGCACAAACTGATATAATTCCTTAACTTCTCCCACTGTGCATATATTTTGCAGGGATCTCTGGTCTGTGTACCATTACATGCCACGTGTGCTAGAGCAGTTAGGTATTTTTAATCATCATAATTTCCTAGCTCAGATTAGACGCATTAAGGGATGGAATGGTCATTTTAGTTTTTCATTTTCTGGCTTTTGTTGCTTTGTTTTAAAACCTTAATGCTCACTGCTGGCTGGCAGAAATGCAGTCAGACTTTCAGTCTTAAGAGCAAGCAAGACTGATATCATGATGTACAGTGGAAGGAGTCTTCAGCAATTTTATTATTACACCTGCCTTATGTAAATATTTATTTGCCTCCTGGGGGGGTAATTCAAACTTGATTTGGAGAAAGATAAAAATACTTTGCTTCACTTACCTTTTATGATTGTTGCTGTTGTCCTCCATTAAATAACTCATCTTACCTGTCATGATTTTATTTAATGAACAGATGTATCATTTTCAAAACAGTCAGATTTTATACAGAACAATAATTGCATAATAAAGTCTGGCAGGGTATGCCTTTCCACAAAAACAGATATTTTTAATTTGCATAACTCATGTAAAAGACCCAAATACTGATACACTCAATTAAGATTACTAAATCTTTTTATAGCTTTATAGCAAATAAATATTTCATCAAGTAAAAATACTGTTAATATCTCAACTTACAATTTTAAAGCAGGAGTGATTTTCTTCAGTAACTGAAGATGTTTTCTAATCTAAAAACAGAAATTTAAAAATCTGATTTAATGTTTTCTTAGCACTATTACCCACAGCATTTCAGGCACACTAATGAAACAGAAATTTCTTTTTTAACTGATTACAGATAAACACTTAAAGAAATCAAGTCCCAAATTCAAACCCTTGCAACATTTAAAAAATTATTCCTGCTCTGTTTAAAGAGATGAAAACACTGTGCACTATACAATACGATGGTGGCGGTGGCAGTAGCAGGTTCACTATCATAGGTTTGAAAACATATTTAATCTAATTGATGAGCTTTTGTTTAAACAAGCATTAACATATATGACGTGGTCAGAAAAATTCCCAGCAACATATAGCCCAAGTGATTAGGCTACTGAATAAAAAGGTCACAGTATTTAAAATTTTGTATCTTCACTAATTCAGCATTGATTTTGCAAAATGGATTAAAAAAAAAAACCATGTACCATATTAGGCCCATTCTGTTCTCACTAACATCAATGGTAAAACTCCCAGTGACTTCAATGGGAGCTTTGGGCCCCTGATAATAAATGCTTACTTATCATGCTTTGGAAAGTATTGTCTTTTAACTTATTTAAAAATCAGACACTACTTTATAATAGTTTCTGGATCTAGAAAGTCTATCTCACAGCATTTAGAAACAACGAGTAGTCCTGTGGCACCTTAGAGACCAACAAAAATATATAGCATCATGAGCTTTTGTGGGGAAAACCTACTTCATCAGATGATGAGCTGGAGTCATCTGATGACATGGATTTTACCCACAAAAGCTCATGATAGCATATATTTTTGTTAATCTGTGAAGTGCCACAGGACTACTCATTTTTTAAATGACAGACTGACACAGCCACCCCTTTGATGCAGTATTTAGATTTGACATACATTTATAATGGTCTTGGTCACACATATGGCATTCATGACATCATTTATTGCATCTGCAATAAAAACACATTTTAAGAGTAAAACTACAAGCTTTATGGATGATCTTACTATGTTTCACATTTATTCCATGTTGCTGAGAACTGAGGAAAAACAATTTTAATATTACTGTGTCAAAAATGAATTAGATTTCTAAAAACATTGTTCTGGCCTCATTTGTAATAATCTTTTATTTTTTCAGAAGCCAATGGTACATGATGTTCAAGAATGTCAATGCCTTGTTTGCTGTTACAGGTATTCAGGGTCATCTTTTAATACCAAAAACATTTCCAAAATAAAGATATTAATGTTTTTTCTCCATTTTTCTTGTACAGGTATCTTTTAAAAATACTTGTAGGCACTCTCTCTGTTAATAAAGTTGTGATTGGAAAACGGTCTCTTTGTCTCTTTCTTTCCTAGAAATCTATACAAAAATCCACTTGAAATAAAATATGTTTGTACTTGAATAGGGTTCTGTGCTTTCACGGAATTTATAAAGAGGAAGTCTGCCTGTCTTCATATGGTAGTATGATACAGATAAAAAAGCCACAAGCAAGATTCAATAAATGTTAAAATTCAATGAAGAGCAGGGAGTAGAGTGTTGAAGTGTGTGTCTGATGGTGTCTGATAGTGTTCTGTTTGTGATGGAAATGGGAAATAAATGCTTAACTACAAAAAGAACAATGAATATTTTACTGAAGTTCCCATTAAGAACATACTTCCAAGCAAAGAAAATTCATGACAGCTCTTAAATAATGCATGTTTGCTTTTTCCAGCTCAATCCAGGAAAATTACAGAGATTCCACAGACCTCTTCTTTGGGGGACTGATTCTATGCCTACAACTTTATTTCCTGTTTTGTGCGAGCTTATCGGGTCCCAAAATCCCGCGTCCACAATTGTGAATTAAGCAGAGTTGCTTTTACCCTTTAGTAGGAACCGATCATTTCCCGAACCTCAGTGTAATCATCCTATGGAGCAAATTCCTTTGGATGGTGAACAGCGGGGCACCCCAAAAACACAGGAGCAGTTGCTGTTAGCTCCCTGCACTGCAGTGCAGCGCAGTCTAAGCCAGGCTATGCGGGCTGCCAGCAGCCCCCATCTAGTTGTCTGTGTCGGGTTCCCAGTGTTGTGCTATCCCCCGCTCCTTTACGCACACGCTCATCATCGCTCCCTGCGGGACAAGCGCTGGATGCGGCTTCTCTTGCTGAGGCGACCTCCCGTCACCCCTTCCCCCACCCCATCTCATCTGCATCCTTCCCCAAGCTCCCCCGCCCCACTTTGCGCACAGATGTTACGTGGCCGCCCCAGCCGGCATGACTCAGCCCTCCAGCTTTCTACCCCAGTCCCGCTCTCTGGGGAGGTAAATGCACGGGAAATCCGCCCGCCTAACTCCCCCTGCAAAGCCCTGGGGAGTCCCCCCGCGCCACAGGCTGCTCAGCACGTTCCCTCTCCCCCCCCCCCCCCCCCCCGACCCCTGCTCCTGACACCCACCCCCTCCAGTGCTGCAGCCCCGCAAACCAAACCCCGCGGGGATCGGTCCTCAGCCCCCAGGTTAGAAACTCTTATTGGGAGTTGTGCCCTGGCGCATCCTCCTCCCCCTTTCTCTCCACTACGACTTAATTAAGGGACTTGTCAGGATCTGTCCCCAAAGCAACTGGAGCTTAACAACTTTTCACGCTCCAGGAAACTCCTGGCGACGAAGCAGCAAAAGAGGCAGGATTCTTTGGGGGGCCGAGGGGGCTACTACACAACATATTCCTAGCCAGTCTGAGCCCCGATCCTTGCAGCCTAGGAAGGCGGAAATGTAGGAGAATTTTCATTGGCACCAGGGGTGCTGGAGCAATTTTTATAGTGGGGGTGCTGGAAGTCACTGAACCAAATTGTAAACCCGGTATATAATGGAAACTCTTCCAAGACAGGGGGTACTGCAGCACACACACACGGAGTCCCAGCACCCATGAAAAGCACAAACGGATGGTTGTATCGTTTATCTGGCGCACTGGAGGGCGGTGGGAGGGGGGCGCAACATGCTCTCCCCCGCCGCGCACCTGAAAGCCTCCATGTCCTTCGCATCCCTTCGTGCATCTGAGCCCCACCAGCACCTCTGCAGCGTTCCCGCTGCCTCCCTACCCTGGATCCCCACCCCCGCCCCATCGCCACGCGAAAGTTACCAAACTGTAGCCCGCGGCTCAGCTGCCGCCCAAGCTCCGTCTCACTCGCCCGCAGCCAGAGGCAGCTCGCCCCGGGAAGCTGCCGCCTGCTCCCGGGACTCATCCCCAGGGCGCGGGGGAAAGTTGCAGCCCTTCCCCGCCACACTCGCAAATAGGGAAAGTTGCCGCGGAGGCAGGAGGAGCCGCGCGCCACTTACCCGCGGGGACACCGAGCCCCTCCGAGAGCCGCGCCAAGCAGCCTCCCCTGTGCGGCGGGTGACACTTGCGCCTGTCTCCAGCGCTCGGCTCGACGCAGCTGCTGCTGGCGGCGGAGAAGCCTCCTGGAGAAGTCGCCAGGCGTGACCGAGCCAGAGGAGGGGCGGCCCAGGGGCTGTGTGGGCTGCACGTTGCAGTCCTCCCTCTGCTGCAGTGCTGGAGCGGGAGAGGCAGAGGGAGGGAAGGGCGGGGAGAGAGGCAGGGGGGGGCGCGGGG